TGGGAACAAGGAGGCATTCTCCATTATGCTCAACAAAGAGAACTCTGTGAAACAACAGGTTTACCACCATGAATGGATTTCTGGATAACACGTAACCCTGTATCTGGTTTTGCATCTTAAAGAGACTGGTTTCCTGTTGACTCCCTGGATCAAGCCAGAGCATCTCCACTACAAAAGGTTTCTATGGTGAGACAACTTTCACACCTTGGCCAAATGGTTCCATTGAAGTATAGGGTAGATTTGAATATTAACCCACTCCTTCTAGATAGGTACGTCACATCCCAAGACCCAATAGGTACAAGGACATGGGGCGGACCAAGGACAGGAGGTTGGCATTAGGCCAACCCCTAAACCAGGTGATAAAAGGGCCAAGCACCCTTTGTCTGGTGCTAGCCGCCTTTTTACCCCACCTTTCTGTAACTTAAGTTGTGCCAGCTAGCAGCCAAAGCTAGCTAGAACCCCCCCTCTCTAGGCAACTAAAGCTCTGCTACAGGTAATTCCCACGTAGCCGCCTTGGAATGCGCAGCCAAGAAGCCCACACGTAGTGGCTGGTTCCATCAGTGTGGCGTGGAATCCCTCTAGATAGATCTTTTGTTCCTGCTTCAACTTAAGCTCTGCTACAGGTAATTCCCACGTAGCCGCCTTGGAACGCGCAACCAAGAAGCCCACACGTAGTGGATGGTTCCATCAGTGTGGCGTGGAATCCCTCTAGATTGATCTTTTGTTCCCGTTTTGCTTCATTGGGAAGATCAACTCCTTCTTCTGGAATCAGATAAGTATATTCTGCATCCTTTTGTGTGTTACTTCCCCGTTAGTCACAGTTTATTATTTTCTGTACTGAATGCTTCCATTTCTAATGTATCTGAAGGATCTTGTGCGTTTGTGTGTGTGAAACAGTTTGTGTATGCTTGCGAATTTCTATATTACTTAGTAAAGACAACATTTATTCTTTAAACATCCAGGTGTGTTGTCTCTTTATGGGGAACAAAGCACTGTCTGTCTGACCCATTCTCTGTATACATATCGTTGCCCAAGAACCCATTTTGAGCCCCAGTCGTAGATAAGACTGATTTGGGCAGCGGAGTAATCTTCATCAGAGGATTTCCGCTAACACTATCTTGATCTGAAGAGCTGTTCCCCTGTCTCCAGCCTGTGACCGTGGAACAAATCTCTATGTGCTAATGTAACCAAGTTTAACTTGGGTTTGAACCAGTGAACTCACAGCAGCATACCATAAAGCAAAACAGAGGTTTATTGGAAGCAAAATTAAAAGATTTTAAAAGCAGTATAGTTCCAGTGGATAGTTCAAGCGCTCAGAAAATAACAAAACTAGCTTTCCTAAATACACGTACTGTGTAAGGGTTCTGCAACACAGGTCTTAACTTTTTAAAGTTCTAGCAAACTCACTTCAAAGCAAGCAGCAAAATCCATTATAGATCTAGCGTGTGGTGAAAGCAGATACCAGGTATAGGGAAGAGGAAAAGGAATAGAATGGGGATGTAGACTGATAGAATGGACTGCATTTCATAGAAGACCCAGGACAAAGACCTCCTGTCCTCTTTCAACCAATCATCATGCTGTCTCCAAGGTGCCTTCTAGGAACTGAGCAGGTTCCTTCCTCCCACCTTATTCCAGCTGCAACCAGTGAGCTAATCGGTAGGCCTGGTGGAGTGACCTTGGTGGACTAATGGTCTCTGTGAGGGGTGCAAATACTTCTTGTTGACCGAACAGGGCAGAGAGAGAATGTTACAGATGGAATTTCCCTCAAAGATGGCTCATGTCCTCCACACACGGCTTCTAGTTCATCGTCCCACCTGTTCTGTATATAAGGGGAAAGCAGCTTGGGAAGCTTGGCTATTAACACTCTCCAGACTTGGAGCCATGAAGGATGGAAGAGTCTGCTGCTTGTCCGAGTCTCACAGCAACTGCTGCTCCTCCAGGGATTCACAACCCCAACTCCTTCCTTGGGGAGTCTTACAAGTAGGGGTGCCAGGCTCCAGGTGGGCCCGGAGATCTCCCAAAATTCCAGCTGAACTCCAGAGATCAGTTCCTCTGGAGGAAATGGCTGCTTTGGAGCCGGAAGGTGGACTCTATAGAATTGGACTCTATGGAATTGTATCCACCCCTCAGGTACTTCCCTGAATCCTGTCTTCCTCAAGCTCCATCCTCAGATCACCAGGAATTTCCCAAGCCGGAGCTGAGAACCTTATCCGAGATGTGCTTTATTATGCTGTTGTCTTTCAGGGAGACAAAAGGACTGTGTTTGTCTTGTCTGTCTTTCTGATCGATTTGTTAATTGGTATGACTCATTTATTATCATAAAAGGGGGGGGGGAACCCACTTCGATTCATGCATAACAGGATCTCTCTCTCTCCAGGCACGCAAAAGAGAATACTTCTAATTTTTTTAAGAGACAAAAAAAAAAAAAAATCCCCCAAATCCCTTTTTAATAAGAACAGGACTTTAAAGACAATTTAAAATGCTGATGGCAGAAGGAGAGGCAGTTGGTAATGGCCGCTTTTAAAATGCCTGCCACTAACTGCTCACAACTGAGGTAGGCTGGGAGAAAAAAAAGGAGGCTTACAGAAAATAACCACAGGTGATTTTCTGAGAGGAAGACATAACTACAAAAAGGATCTGAAACAAGCAGTACTACATAGGGAAGAATGCAGACATAGGAACATAAGAAAACATTCGGCTAACGACTGTAATTTTCTGGTTCCCCTCTGGAGTCCTTTTTAAAAACTGATGTAACATTTGCTACTCTCCAGTCTTCCAGTGCAGTGCTTGAATTTAGTGATAAGTTACATGTAGGGGTTAATAGATCTCAATACAAAGTGAAATGCTGCATAAGTTCACACAAAGAAATTAATGCTGAAATCCAACTTCCATGTTGTTTATAATTCTTGTATTTCAACTGGTGGACATCATCCAGACACCAGGGTGTCGACAAGATGTACAGAACGGGACGAACTTCTCGAGTTTTGCCATTCGTTTCGAGAACAATCTTTATCAAACTTCAATTTCCAGTGGTCCTTTCACAGTCTAATTCACCACTAAGGTATCCAAACGTTCAGGAAGGTTTCTAACAGCTCTTATCACCAACCATTATTATTTCACTATGGACAGTAAGTCTTAATAGATCAACAGTCTTGTTGCCTAAGAACTCTGGGTCTATGCATCGGGACCTGGGGATTTATTGGTTTTTAATTTCCCCAATAGGTCTAGAACTTCATCTCTTCTCAGTTTGACTCAGTTCTTAGGACTCCCTCCCTGAAAATATTGGTTGTGGTGTGGGAACATGCCCCACACTTTCCACAGTGAACACAGATGCAAAAAATTCATCAAGCTGCGCTGCTATCTCCCCATCTTCCTTTAGCAAATGTTTTATTCCTTGGTCATCCAAAGACCCAACTGCTTCTCCATCTGATTTCCTGCTCTGTGGATATACTTAAAGAAAAATTTATTCTTTCTCTTAATCCACTCCTCAAAATCTCTTTTTACATTCCTAATTATTAACTTACATTTCTTTTGCCAGAACCTGTGGCCCCTTCTGTTCAGTTCATTGGGGCACACCATCTGCTTTTAAAAAGAAGCCTTTTTGCTTTTTTGTAGCTTCCTTGACTTGTGCTGTTAATCATGCAGGCATTCTATTAGATTTGGGAGTGCCTTTCCTAACCTAGGGAGTGCATTCTATCTGGGCTTCAAATAATGTGGTTTTAAATATTGTCCAAGCATCTTCTAGGAACTGGACTGTCTTGTGTATCCCTTTCAGTTTCCTTTTAACTATTTCCCTCATTTTTGTAAGTTTCCTTCTTTTGAAATCAAATGGTATAGTTTTGGACTTTAGAGGTTACCCAGAAAAACCTGGAAGTGACTTCATACCTCTGTAGGAATCACTGGAAACACTATGGTACAACCACAGAATTCTTAGCAATTCCTAGACAAGGACTGGTATTATTTCAAGGGGGAAATGGGAAGTTTCGCCATTGAGTTTTCAGTGATTCCTAGAGAGGCATGACATCAATTCCAGGTTTCCCCCAGATGTGGCATCATGCCATAAGCCTGATAGCCATTTGTAAAATTTTTCTCCTACTGCCACTTTGAGCAGAAGTATGAAATAAGAGCTGGGAGATCCCCCGCCTCCACCTGGGGATTGGTAACCCTAGTTCTAAGGCCTAGTTCTTTCACATAGTAAACGAGGCCATAAATATGTTTCCATGCCATCTCAGAATGCAAATGAGAGGATAGTCGCATGATGGAAATATCCTCTGTTTTAAAAAAAATAAAAACACGACGATTGTGGCAGGTAGAAAAATAGAATAGAACCCGTTCCCTAACATGCTAGCTTTCTGTGTTCCTGGATTATTATTTTCTTACTATGGAAGAGTGGTCAATTTATAAGCCACCGTCTGCATTCTGGTTTGGAATTGCCCCAACACAAATGCATCCCCTCATCTGCTGTTTGGGAGAACTAAGCCTAAGACCACGTGCTATTTGGGCCTCTTCTACAAAACATCTTTATACGTCTTCGTTTCCAGACTCTGCTAATCTAGTACATATTTTTGAGAGAACAGAAATGCTGCAAATGCCTGCCCTTGAGCCGCACCGATTTTGCAATATTTCCTGGGCCACACGTGAGAGTTTTACTCAGTTGGTTCATCCTCTGCTTCAGTAAAGAGAAATCTTCCTTCCTAATCACAGAAAATTCAAAAGTGAAGGGAGAAGGGAACATTCCCAAGGCTCAGAAGCCACAAAATCCCTAGCAGGTTGTGCTGGGCCTTTCACAGCAACCCGTGTCTCCTTGGAAACAAGACCGTAAACTCCAAGAAGGGCAGGGATCTGTAAACAAGTCAAACGAGATGGATGGGCACCAGAGCCTTCCAGTCATCATGCACCGCCTTTTCAGGGTTCTGCATTAATTATCTGAGTGGTCCAATCAGAGGGAAGAAGGTGTGAGCCAGGGGGAGGGAGGGAGATGTGGGGAAGAGACAGGCCCACTTCCCCCAAACTAAACACAGTAGCGTCCGTAGCTTCAGGTAGAAGCAACAGGTAACAGATTCAAGGTAAAGGATTCGATCTCTTTCCTTTATCGGTTGGGTCAGGAAGGTTACCATCCAGTGATGCGTGACAGTAAGATGAAGCTTTTTGTTGCTGTTGTTAACTTTTAAATGCAGACCTATGACTGTCAATCTTTCAGGTATCAGCGCACTTAGAAAATGCTGTTGGGAAAAAAGTGCATGGTGTGGGGAGGGGGGGAGCGGCTGATGGCAGATTTCCAAAAAAGCTTCTGGAAACAATGTCACACGGACTGATCTGCCTGTTTTACACCCTTAATAGAGAAGAATGTGAAACTCTAGAAGGGTAACCTGCTCGGTCCCCGACTGCAAAAGCCAGAACTCTTAAAAGGCGAAGTGATTTGTTGTGTTTTAAGCTTTGGTGGACCGGTTTCAGCTGGATTCCTTTTTGTGGGAGAAAGCCAAGTTGGGTTGATTAGGTGCCCACCGGATTCCTGTTTGTGGGAGAAAGCCAAGTTGGGTTGATTAGCGTCCTTGTGGTTTGTGCACAGGTTTGCCTCTGGTTTCTTTTAGAAACTTCCAGATCAGCCACAGAACATGCACAGTTATTAATGAGTAATGATTTAAAAGGACTCTTCCTCCCTCCCTCCCTTCCCCACCTTTGCCTATTCCTGCTTCCTCATTTCAGAACAAGTGTAACTTTAGAACAGAAATTGCAGACTTGAATTCTCCATCAAGTTCCACATTTGGAAGGCTGTTAGAATGCAAAGTTTACTCTGGAGGTGACCCTCAAGGGCCGCAGGGATGTCACAGACAAAGCTGTTTGAAGAAGATTTCACTTAGCGGTTGTGATTTCCCCCGTGCAACCACCTGAAAGAACATATGAAGAGCCCTGCTGGATCAGACCAGTGGTCCATTTAGTCCAGCATCCTGTCTCACACAGCGGCCAACCAGTTCCTCTAAATGGCCAACAACAGGGCACAGAGGCCTTCCCCTGATGTTGCCTCCGGCTCTGGGACTCAGAGGATTAGTGCCTCTGAATGTGGAGGTTCCCCTCAGTCACCATGGCTAGTAGCCACTGATAGACCTGTCCTCCATGAATCTACCTAATCCCCTTATAAAGCTGTTCATCCCTGTGGCCATCACTACATCCTCTGGCAGCGATTTCCACATTTTGATCGCTCTGTGTAAGGTAGTATTTCCTTTTGTCCATCCTGAAGCTACTGCCCATCAATTTCATTGGCGAGTTCTAATATTTTGGGAGAGGAAGAAAAAGTTCTCTTGGTCAACTCTCTCTACCCCATGCATAATTTTATAAACCTCTATCATGTCCCCCTTTGGTCATCTCTTTTCTAAACTGAAAAGTCTTCAGCCTTTCCTCATAGGGAAGGTGCCCCAACCCCCCAATCATCTTGGTTGCCCTCCTCTGTACTTTTTCCAGCTCTCCAATGTTCTTTTAGCGATACGGTGACCAGAACTGTACACAATATTCCAGAAAGCACGAGGCTTCTCGTACAGCAAAAACTGCCACTGCCGCCAATGAGAAGCCATTTTAGACTAACACCTTGCACCAAAACAGTCTCTTGCGCACAAACAAGGTTATTTCCCCCCATGGCAACAACTGTGAGATTGGCCATCTGTTGTTTATTGTGAAGAATGGTTCCTTATTTAGTATTACTAGAAATACCCATGGAAAAGAAGAGATGTACTTGTTGTAACAGCGTTCCGTGCGCCTTGGTGTTTAGTCATGCCGGCCACATGACCATGGAAAGGTCTCCGGACAGCGCTGGCTCTTCGGCTTTGAAACAGAGATGAGCACCGCAACTCTAGAGTTGGACTCGACTGGCTTTCAAGCAAGGGAACCTTTACCTTTTTACTTGTTGGTTAACAGCAGAAACCAACTTTAACTGAACACATTACAAGACGGGTATGCAGTTAATGCTCTGATAACATTAATGCTCTGATAACATCGTGAATGTCTCATAATGAGTGCCTTATTTTGGAGCTAGTCAGGTGGCAACACAAGACACCTATGTATGAACCCAACCTCGGAACTCTAGGGATAGGGGAAGAACAAATTTAAGGCACTTTTCGGCCCTTCTTCCACTGTTAGTTTGCATCTCTGAAAGAACAGTTCTAAGTGCACTTGTGAATATGAGGAAAACAGACAGTTCTTAAAGGCACCTGGTCACATTTAGCGTTAAAGATGCCTGATTTCGATTTCTCAGCAGATTGATGACCACACAGTATGGACTGATTCACTATCGCCTTCTAGCCTTTCTGCACTCTACAATTCATGTCTCATTTTGGTGTAAAGGATGTTCTGTTTGTCTGAATGATAACTGGATGTCCTATTAGGTTTGGTGTTTATTAGTACCATCTTTTATGGCAAGTCAGTGCTGTGTAGTGGTTAGAGTCTCAGGCTACCATCAAGGAGATCAAGATTCAAATCTCCATTCCGCAGTGAAGTTCACTCAGTCCCCTCAGGCCGGTCGTTCTTTCTCAGTCTAATCTACATCACAGGGTTTTTGGGAGGCCCTTGGATGGATTTGGTTTATCAGATTGATATAATTTCTTTTTATAAATGGTAAACACCATAGTAGTTTTCTCATAATTTAATATGGAGTTCTCTCCTCAGATACAGTTGAGAATGTAATCCCAGTAATCTTCCTTTTAAATAGTGGAACAACCATTTATTTATTGGCTTTGTTCTGTTTCCTGATACATCTGCTTTCTCATGCATATAGTTTGATCAGCTTCCAAGATATTAGGCAGATCCAGTTGTTTTCTGTATAAAGTTAATTTGACATGATCAGTCGATACTGTTTGTTTACACTGGCATTCTAAGCATTTAATTATTTGGATAAGTTCAAATTGCTTTTTATTTCATTATTAATTATTATTTATTACTTCAAAGAGTTGTATAAGAAATAAGTTCCTTACATGTGTCTGTGTGTCTCCCAGATGGATTTCTATAAAACATCTGAGGCATTTGCTTTAATTTCCTGGTGTAATCTACTGTTGAAACAAGATATGTGTTTAATTTCCACTGAAATGATGACTTTGAAGCTTCAGATATATTGTCCATTCACAGCTAATAGCTGTGCTGTTCAGTAGAATTCTTGATTTTGTATTGATCATCATCATTTGAGCCAAAGTACCTGGTGCCACCAAAATCTGGTCAATTCCTGAATACCTTTGATTAGCATTTTAAAAAAATGTATAGTCCTTTGGGGGGGGGGGTGTTTTAAAAAACAAGAAGTAAACATTTTTTGTTGAAATGGGTCCATTCCTCTAAAAAAACCCCCAATGAACCTTTCTAGCTATATTTGTTCTAGCCAAAGCTGGGTTAACATCACACTGAAATCGTCAGTATTTAGATCTTCTGCAAACTTGCTTTATTTAATATATACTACACTTTTACCCTCAGTGGGGATCCAAAGTGCCTTATGTCATTCTCTGCTCCTACATTCTGTCATCACAACAACCCTGTGAGGTGGTTTAGGCTGAACAATAGGTATGACTGGCCCAAGGTCACAAAGTCAGTATTGTCTGCTCTGGCTGGCAGAGGCTCTCCAGAGGTCTTTCACATCACCTCCTACATGGTCCTCTTTTTAACCGGAAGTGCCAGGGATTGGACCTGGGACCTTCTGCGCGCCAAGCAGATGCTCCCCTCCCAGCAAGTTTCCATGACAGAGCGGGGGTTTCAATCTGGATCTCCCAGATCCTGGTCCACACTCCAAACACTACAACATGCTGGCTCCCACACATAAAAAATGGTAGAGGAAAAACTAGGTGGTAGAATTATTACCTGCAAAAAACCTGGGCGGAAGAGCAACTTTTTAACCACTGCAGGGTTTTTTATCATCCTTTGTATGACAAATAGCACTTGTCCCAAGTGCCCTCTTGTATACAATTTTTTTACTTTATAGTAAAAAAAGTGGTTGACTCTGGCTTGTTTTTTTGTTGACTGCCAATGCTGTTTAAAGCAGACTTGCATGCTTCTGAGGTCCCTGAAGAAGAATATCTCTGCTTAAGACAGTACAGTGACCTATACAACATGGATTCACTTTTGTCACATCTGTTTCTGGTTCAGTTTATTTTATTAATTCGTTGTTCGGGGGGGGGGGGAACAGTCCCCAGCCCATGCGTATGTCTCTCTTTAGATTATGTTCTCATTCTACACCATGCACAGCCCTAGCTTTGAAGTAGGGTCCCAGTCTTTTTGACAATCCTTGCTGTTGCCTTTAATAGCAGATTGATCTATAGGCATTAGCATGTGGTAATGGGACGGATCCAGACTACACTGCCAGTTTCCACCAGTTCCCCTTTACCACTCTCCCCCCCCCCCTTATGTTGTTCCTCAGGGTCCCCTGTACCCTCGAAGCTGCATTTTATGGAGGTCAGTTGGCTGCAGTGAGGTAGTGGGGGGAGGAAACTTCCATTCTGCCACTGGAAAATTTAGTCCGAATCCAAACCAATGTGTATATATGCTATGTATACACCTGAGGGACCACCTTTCCCCATACAGGCTCCAAAGAGCACTTTGGTCGGGGTCACAACACCGCCTAGTGACCCCGGGCCCTAAAGAGGCCAGGCTTGCTGCCACAAGAGCCAGGTCCTTTTCGGTGGCAGCTCCTCCTCCTGGAGGAGATCAGGGCCCTGCGGGACCTTTTACAGTTCCGCAGGGCCTGCAAGACGGAGCTCTTCTGCCAGGCTTTTGAGTAGGAGGAGCCGCCGTCACTATTACCACCATCGTGCACTGCAGAGCAGTTCCTCCGGGGTGGGCTGATTAGCCACCCGGAACATCTTGGCCCATGGCATTCCCCCCTTTCTTCTGATCTCACTGTGATGTACAATAATGACTGAGTATTTTAATCGCTGATGTATCCTGTAAGATATGAATTTTGGTTTTAAGTGGTTAATCTGTGTAGTTTTATTGCACCTTGGGTGCCTTAATTGTCTTAATCCTGTTGTATTTTATTGCATGGTTGTGCCTATGTAAGCCGCCGTGAGCCCGCGTGCGGGGAGGGGGGTATAAATGAAATAAAATAAATAAATAAACATGTGCTCCAATGTCTGTCACCAGCCTTCTGTTAATTTCTGCAGATTCAGTAGTTAAAGGGTTAAGTGTGCAACTAAAGGCATGGGAGCAGGTCAAGTCACTTTTTCTGGTCAGTTGGCAATCCTAAAGTAATTGTTCAGAAACTACTGCAAAGTGTCGAAGGAACCCCTTGGCTAAACTGACCCTAAATGGCAATCCTAGCCAAAAAAAACCTCCCCCCAAATGGACAGTTCCACGAGGAAAGGGAATTGATATTGAGTGTGTGGACAAAATCTGCTTCTTTGGGCTTTCCAAATGTTAGCAGGTATCAGTTTGTTTTTCTGCCTAAGCATATTTTGTTATCTTTGCTCAGTACATTCATCTCTTATCTGCTGTTTAAAAATATGTGGTTCCTTTCCTCCTTCTAGATGGCTGGTACAGCGAGGCATGACCGGGAGATGGCTATCCAAGCCAAGAGAAACCTGGCCATAACCAAAGATCCAATTGAGAGGCTGCGGCTTCAGTGTTTGGCCAGAGGGTCTGCAGGCATCAAAGGCCTTGCAAGGTAAAGCGAGTTCATGAGGTAAATTATTAAACCATCCCTGTGATACGCAGGCCTAGAGCTTGGTGAAGCGAGGCCATCAGTTACTCCAGTTTCCATTTCCCAATTCAAGAGGTTAAGATGTTATGTGAAGTTTCCTAAATTAAGAACATGTCTGAGTATGTTACAGATGGCGTTACAGGCTGTCTGTGGCTTCTTTACATCTGGAATTACACCTCATAAATTCACTTAATTGTAAGGAAGATCAAGGGGGAAAGTGAAAGGTTTCAAAAGAGCTGCAGATTTTTTAAAAAGCAAAGGGGGAAAAGATGAAAAATCTGAAGTATCGTAGGGTCCAGTTAAAGAAGGATAGTCACAACTAGGGTTGCTGTTAAGTCCTGCGCTTAACAAAGAGTCAGAGAGTGATTTCAGCCAAAACTCAAGTTTATTCCTCTTCACGATCACTTCTCCAACACGGTACAACATCTGATAGCCCGAACAGCTTGTCCATTGAAGCTGCTCGGTATTTAAACATTCCCGGCTAATATAGCCACTCCTACTTTACAGATAACAACCTATCAGGTTGATCGCATAAAGACCAATCACACACGTTCCCGCTTGCCATTCGCTTGAACGGGATTGGACCGTTAGTCTTGGACTTGAATCCCCTGTCCAAGACGAAGCTTAACATAGCTTCCCAATGGGATGTTTCACACACATCCTAATGTACTCATGGCAGCATCTGAATACATTACAGTTGCCAACTTGGGGTTGGGAAATTCCTGGATATTTGGGGCAGGATTTGAGAGGGGGAGGGCAGGATTTGAGAAGGGGAAGAACCTCAACCGGGTATAATGCCGTGGAGTCCACACTCCAAAGTAGCCATTTTATCCGAGGGGACTGATCTCTGTAGTCTGGAGATTAGTTGTAATTCTGGGAGTTTCCCAGGACCCACCTGGAGGTTTACACAACAAGGCTCAAACTGGCTCAAACTGTACCTCAAACTGGAAATGTAGCAGTGATTTTCAAGAATGTTTAATGTGGTTATTTCATAATACACAGATAATAATCTCAGGGAAATAACCAGGTAATAATAGCATGTGTCCCAAGGCCAACATCAGGGGCCAGCATTGTCGGGCACCTCCTGAGGCTTTTGGCCTGGCGACTGACCTGGACAGCCCAGACTAGCCTGATCACGCCAGACCTTGGAAGCTCAACAAGGTCATAGTTGGTTGGCACTTGGATGGGAAACAACTGAGGGAGCCCAGGGGTCTCCACGCAGAGGCAGGCAATGGCAAACCACCTCTGGACGTTTCTTGCCTTGAAAACTCTTACCGAGTCGCCGTAAGTCTTGATGGCACATTCCACCACCACACCACTGCCAAGTGACCCATCTGCTTCTACCAGTTAATGGGAGATTGCTAGATGGAGCAAAGAAGCAAGACTGTCTGGCTTGAGACTGACCAAGACTGATTGGAAGAGATAGGTAGACACGGAATTGTGGGTGTAAGTGGTCTGGTGAGATAGTAGTGAGGATGGTGGTGGTAACAGTGCACGTCATGAGTGGACCTCTGGATGGCATCTTATTCTGTACCCCTAAACCCCAGAGTCCTGCCCTCACAAAATAGTGCCAAGTGAATGTTGTGTGGCCCTTATTTTGCATGCTTTATCTGTGTGCAGCTACCTGCTGATTAAAATACCCATAATTCTGGCTAATCCCTCGTACAAGGAGGATAAGTGCTTATTTGGTTTGAACCAAAGGCCTAAACATTGAGGTGGTACAGAAGGAGGAAATGGGACCTGACACTGCAGTTTAAGTGGTGAAATCTGAAAGTGAATTTGAACATGGGAAGTGATTTCTTGATGTAGTTAAAAATAATGAGATTTTTCTTTTCTCCTAAGCATGCCTTTCTCCGAGGGTCGGCACATCATTGTTCCTTTGTTCATCTCTCTTGCTCTTTGCATTACAGTTTCCAATCCCTATTTTCTTCTTTAGGGTATTTCGTATCATGGATGACGACAACAGCCGAACTCTTGATTTCAAGGAGTTCTTGAAAGGCCTCCACGATTATGCTGTGTTGATTGAGAAAGAAGAAGCTGAACGGATTTTCAGAATTTTTGATAAAGATGGGAGTGGAACAATAGACTTTGATGAATTTCTCGTAACATTAAGAGTATGTATCTTGTAAAGCAGTTTCTTATGTCATGGTTACATATATCACACAAACACCAGCTGTCCTCATTTCCAGTTATCAGTCCCGCTCTCCCCCTTTTTTGGTTCCTCTACCTAGAAAATCCATGTTCCTCTTTTTTCCTTTTAGGGATGGCCTTGTGAAAATGAGTATGAGTTGCTAAAGAAGTTGATCACCTCCACTGTCTCCCTACGGTGTCTTTAATTAACACGCTGCAGTCTGAAGTCCCTTTAAAGCTCATTGACTTCAGTGTATGGCACTGTAACAGTGAAATTGTATATTTCCAGTCTGAATATATATATAAAAATAACATATTGGTATTTTTTAAAATATACTTGGGTGTCTGGACAGTATTTGGGATTTTTCGTGAAAACCTTAAAAGGTCCTGAAAAATTCCAGGGGTATTTGAGAATATACAGAAATTTCAGGCATTGTAAAACTCTTGGGCTATTTTTCTTCAGTTTTACATTTTGTGTGTGTCAGGGACTTCTTGCCAGGTCTTGGTATTGGTCTGCCACTTTGGTTTGGCTTGGATTCTCTGGTTTGGCATTGGTTGTGTTGGCCTTTCCACAGAGGCCTGTGGTTCTGCTGGGATTCTCTCATACGACATTGGATCTGTTGGGTTTGCAACAACGTCCCTTGCTCCAGTTGGTTTAACTTGGATTCCCTGGCTTGACATCGGTTGAGCTGGGCCTGTCACATTGGCCTGTGATTTTTGTGGGATTCTCTGGTGGGTTCTTGGTGGGTTCAGTGTATATCCGGAGGGCTTTTGGCTAGTGGTTGCTTGCTCTTATGTGTTTGGCTTTTGGCTTCTTTGCCCTGAAGAAATGCCCGAGCAGACAGGGTCCTGATCTCGGTCAGGTCTATGCCAAGGGTGGGAAAGGGGTTCAAGCTTCTCCTCCCAGTGCCATTCTCCCTACCTGGCAGGGCTCCAGGGAGCCACAATTTGCCCCATTGGGGAAACATATGGGTAGCCAGGGGTCATTTCGTAGAAAAAGAGCTGCAGGAGCTCATTAGCATAACTTATTAGCATATACCACACACCCTGACATCACCGGAAGTGTGCACCGGCTCCTCTGACAGGCAGAGGCACCTGGGATCCATTCTTTCCCCCCTCTCCCTTCCCTTCGCCTCCAAGTCGGGCGAAGGAAAAGGGGAGGGGGAGGATCTCAGGCGCTTCTGCCTGACAGAGGTGCTGGCGTGCCCACAGCCAGCCTGGGTGAATTATAGAATCATAGACTCATAGAGTGGGAAGGGACCTCCAGGGTCATCTAGTCCAACCCCCTGCACAATGCAGGAAATTCACCAATACCCCCCACACACCCCAGTGACCCCTGTTCCACGCCCAGAATATGATTTTAAAAACCCCTCCAGGATCACTGGGGGCCAAACTGGCCTGAAGAAAAATTGCTTCCTGGCCCCAAAGTGGTGATCAGCATTTCCCTGGGCATGTAAGAAAGGGCCACAAGAACTAAGCACTGATGCAACCCCTTCCTGCTCTACCTCTCGTGATCCTCAAAAAACAGGATCATGAAACTGCAGGGAAAATCGGGCGAAGCCGCAAGTCAAAATGCAGCCGCGTGGCTTCGAGTGGGAAATTGACCAATGGAAACGAGGCAAAGGGAGGCACGATGGTGGCGCAGCTCCTTGTGCAAAATCAGCCTAGGTTTGGTGGGCTGGAGCCACAAGCCTTGGTGCCCAGACTGGCTGAAGACCCCAGAGCACATGCAAGGTGGATCAAGATGGGTAGCCATGTTAGTTTGTCTGTAGCAGTAGAAAAGAGCAAGAGTCCACCTTAAAGACTAACCGGATCTGTGGCAAGGTGTGAGCTTTTGTGAGTCACTGCTCACTTCTTCAGATGTGGGGTGGAGTCTGAAAAGGCAAGGCCTGTTCCTATGTTTGGAGGAAGAAGAGAGAGACTCTGAGGAGAGTCTGTGGTTGTGTGTGTTTTTACCATGAAGGATGACAGGGAAGAATGATGCAAAAGGGAGTAGTAGATGCACTAGAGATAGAGACATCATGCCACTGCCAAAGATCAGATATCATATGGATTGAAAGTCCTTTGGTTAGCCACTGTCTTTTTGGTTGTTTTCCTTTGTGCACCTAGATTGTGGCCTTTGCAGTATCCTGAGTTTGTGCTTTGTAGAAATAAAGTTAGTTTAATCTTATCAGAGTCTGCATAAGTCCTTACCCACCTGCATTTCCACTTGGCATGCTACTGAGCGACACCCCTGTGAGGTTGGCTTCGGGCAATCCACTAGAGAGAAAGGGGAGCTGGATTTTACCTGAAGTGGTGGCAGCGATAGTAAAAGGTGGCCAGTCCTGCCCCACAACATGACAAAGACTACAAGAGGAATTAAAACAAGTTCTCTGTGCATTAGGCAATCCACTGAAAATGATTTCCTTGCCCACAGAGACCTAACACATCAGAGAGGAAAAAAGGTTGTTGTCTTTGCAACTTGTGCACTTCCTATTTGGAGAGTATGTTCCCATGTAAGCTGAGGTGGTCTCATCTCAGAAGCTGCACATCTCATTATTATTCCAAACATCTGGACCAGTGGCCCTTCCACTGTGTCTCCACTAGCACAGATCCTCCACATAGTTTAACAGTGGTTGGATAATGACACAGTCAACCTGTGTACACCGGCACTCCCTGATACAGTGTGCTCCCAATCCAACAGTGCAACCCTATGCAGTGAGCTTAAACTGGAATAATTCTACACGGGACTGCATGAATAGACTTAGGCCCCGGTCACACAGGCCGGATATCGTGGGGGGGAGGCGTGGCTAATTGCCCCAGCGCAGTTTGATCTGCGATTACGCGATCAGACACACCGGCGGCACACCACGGGTCCTTCCCTCAGCTCCGGCGGGTAAACGAGGGACCGGAGGGGAATGCCATGCGTCGGCGCAATCACACCACGGGCGTCTGGAAGTGGCCCATGGCAAACGTTTACTAGTACTTTGGAGGTACTAGTTTTTTAATACGCATTGTCAGCGGTAAGCCCACTTCCCAGATGTTGGGATTTGATCGCGCCCGGATAATCCACCCACCATCCACCATCCGTGCCTCTCCTGCGGCAACTTTGCCGTGTGACCGGGGCCTTAGATGATAGCTAGTGGAGTCTGCACAGGCATTGGAGAGAAATTGGTGCTGACTCCATTAGCTGGTGGGTCTGAGCTGCACTGTCCCTTGCAACCCATTACCCCTGCTTACCATTTAAACCAGTCAATATAATCAGCAGAATAGCTGGAAATTTTTTCCTGGCCTGTTTCCTTCCTGAAGAGGGTTTTCACCTATTCCCACTTCACAGTGCGTGTCTCCTGGCCCTTTGTCACCGTTCCCAAGATTGGCTTAGCGGGGTGGGTTTTAGGGGGCTGGTGGGGGAAGATCCATTTCAGCAAGCACCTTGCATTTATTTATTTTTCACCTTTCATTGGTTTCAACCCCATCTTCGCATCCTTCCATCAATACTGTGAAAAATCCGAAGGAATTTCTGTCCATCTACTGTGTTTTTGCATTAAGAAATGTTAAGTAATCGTCGTGGTGCTGGGTAGCAGGTGGAAATCCAATTCCCTTCTTTCTGTGCTTGTTTTGTTTTGTTAAGCCTCCCATGTCAAATGCCAGGAAAGAAGTCATCATGCAAGCCTTCCGAAAGCTGGACAGGACCGGAGATGGCATTGTCACCATTGAAGATCTGCAAGGAGTCTACAATGTAAAACATCACCCCAAGTATCAGAACGGAGAGTGGACGGAAGATCAAGTGTTTAGGACTTTTCTAGATAACTTTGATTCACCCTACGACAAAGATGGGCAGGTAAGTGAAAAGCAGCTCCTTTACTGATCAGAGGCGGGAGGGGGGGGGGTGATAGCAACGTTTTCATCCCGGCAGTTCCAGCCTCCAAAATCCTCGTTTTGATTTTGCTTCTCCATTATGTGCATTGAACCCATGGCCCTTTTTGTGTCATTTTCTTATACAAGTTTTTTCCAATTAAAAAATGTCTGTATGTATTTTCAATCATTACTTTTGTGTTTAAAAGTTCACAGGATTTATTTGTTTATTAAGACATTTATGTGCCACCATTCTAGAAGGCAGCCTGAAGACAGCCTACAAAGTAAAATAGGACTGCGATCACACACATTAAATAATCTACTTTTGATCCACTGTCAGTGCACTTTCCAACTGGATTTTACTGTGTCAACTGGCAAAATCCAATTTGAAAGTGGATTATTTAGTATGTGTGATCACAGCCTATATATATATAATACAATTTTTAAAAAACAGTATGGAAAATGACTAATAATAAGCCAGGGAAACGTGCCAGAGGGTATGAAAACAGCATCCTAAAATAATATCTATAAAACAGTCCTCAGTCTAGAAGCAGACCACAAACACAACTAAAAAGTGGAACCTTTCAAGTAAAAGTCTGGGTAAAAGGAAATGTTTTGGAGGAGGAGGAGGAGAGGAGATTGGATTTATACCCCGCCCTTCACTTGGAGTCTCAGAGCGGCTTACAAACTCCTTTCCCTTCTCCCTCCCCACAACAGACACCCTGTGAGGTAGGTGGGGCTGAGAGAACTCTGACACAAACTGATCTTTTTCAAGGACAGCTGTGCCAGAGCTTGTGACTGACCCGAGGTCACATCAGCAGCTGCAAGTGGAGGAGTGGGGAATCAAACCTGGTTCTCCCAGATTAGAGTCCGTGCACTTAACCACTACACCAAACTGGCTCTCTCTCTCTCTTTTTTTTTTTGGCCTGGTGTCTAAAGAACAATAAGGTAGGCAACAGGTGAGCCTCAAGAGAAAGAACATTCCAAAAGCAAGGGGATACCACTGAAAAAGCCCTGTCTTTGATTGCCACCTACCTCACTTCTGCACGTGGGGGCCAAATACGTATATAAATGATGTATACTCTTCAGGGGTCCCCAACTTTATTGAGCCTGCAGGCACCTTTGAAATTTTGAGAGGGAATGGCTCTGATTTAGTTCTGACTTGGCATATCTTAAACATCATCACGTTACATGTTGATCTGCTGTTAAGTCCCTGTCTATATGTCTGAACCTTACCTACCATTCCAATGTATTTGAAAAAGTGTGCCTTGCACATGAAAGCTCATTCCTTGAACGAACCTTTGTTGGTTTTAAAAATTTGTTCTGCTGCTTCAGACCCATACGGCTGACCACCTGGATCTGTCTCTGGAAGACAGGCAGGCTGCTCCAGAATTTTCACCTTTCATTGGTTTCAACCCCATATTCGCATCCTTCCATCAATATTGTGAAAAATTTGAAGGAATTTCTGTCCCTCTACTGTGTTTTTGCATTAAGAAATGTTTAGTAATCGTTGTGGTGCGGGGTAGCAGGTGGAAATCTAATTCCCTTCTTTCTGTGCTTGTTTTGTTTTGTTAAGCCTCCTATGTCAAATGCCAGGAAAGTAGTCATCATGCAAGCCTTCCGAAAGCTGGACAGGACCGGAGATGGCATTGTCACCATTGAAGATCTGCAAGGAGTCTACAATGTAAAACATCACCCCAAGTATCAGAACGGAGAGTGGACGGAAGATCAAGTGTTTAGGACTTTTCTAGATAACTTTGATTCACCCTACGACAAAGATGGGCAGGTAAGTGAAAAGCAGCTCCTTTACTGATCATAGGTGGGAGGGGGGTGATATCAACATTTTCATCCCTGCAGTTCTAGCCCCCAAAATCCTCATTTTGATTTTGCTTCTCCATGGCCCTTTTTGTGTCATTTTCTTATACAAGTTCTTTCCAATTAAAAAATGTCTGTATGTATTTTCAATCATTGTGTTTAAAGGTTCACAAGATTTATTTGTTTATTAAGACATTTATGTGCCACCATTCTAGAAGGCAGCCTGAAGACAGCCTACAAAGTAAAATATGACTGCGATCACACACATTAAATAATCTACTTTTGATCCACTGCCAGTGCACTTTTCAACTGGATTTTACTGTGTGAACTGGCAAAATCCAATTTGAAAGTAGATTATTTAGTATGTGTGATCACAGCCTATATATATATAATACAATTTTTAAAAAACAGTATGGAAAATGACTAATAATAAGCCAGGGAAACGTGCCAGAGGGTATGAAAACAGCATCCTAAAACAATATCTATAAAACAGTCCTCAGTCTAGAAGCAGACCACAAACACAACTAAAAAGTGGAACCTTTCAAGTAAAAGTCTGGGTAAAAGGAAATGGTTTGGCCTGGTGACTAAAGAACAATCAGGTAGGCAACAGGTGAACCTCAAGAGAAAGAACATTCCAAAAGCAAGGGGATACCACTGAAAAAGCCCTGTCTTTGATTGCTACCTACCTCACTTCTGCATGTGGGGGCCAAATACGTATATAAATGATGTATACTCTTCAGGGGTCCCCAACTTTATTGAGCCTGCAGGCACCTTTGAAATTTTGAGAGGGAATGGCTCTGATTTAGTTCTGACTTGGCATATCTTAAACATCATCACGTTACATGTTGATCTGCTGTTAAGTCCCTGTCTATATGTCTGAACCTTACCTACCATTCCAATGTATTTGAAAAAGTGTGCCTTGCACATGAAAGCTCATTCCTTGAACGAACCTTTGTTGGTTTTAAAAATTTGTTCTGCTGCTTCAGACCCATACGGCTGACCACCTGGATCTGTCTCTGGAAGACAGGCAGGCTGCTCCAGAATAGACTGGGAAGGGGAACACAGAACCCAAAAGGTCACTCCTTGAGTTTCCTGGTGACCTGGGCCCAGTCGATATTACTTGGCCAAATCTGACATAAAAATGTACGAAATAAGTAATCAAAACATTCCCCGCTCCCTTCCAGTGAAAGATAACCAGATAGGATGGGAGGGGAAAGGTTGTGATGTATCTTAGTCATTCAACAGGAAAAGCCAGTGAGGTCTTGAGACCTTTATCTTCTTGAAAAGTAGCCACCCCTTTTACCTGAAACAGATCCTGTTGCTATTAGCCCTGGTAGGGGGGAAAGAAGACAGAGGGCAGCCTTTCGTTCATATACCAAAAACAGAGGAAGCGGGATCAGGCTTCCCAAGTACTTACCGTTATTCGGCGGGGGACACAGGCGTCTTCGCAGGATCATTCCCGCAGGGACAACAGACGCGCTGCACCATGCCGTCGCCAGGAAGTGACGCCGGACGACAATCTGGCAATGGGGCTGGAAACTCGATGGTACCATCGAGTTTTCAGCCCCATTGCCAGAGCGTCACCCAGCGTTACTTCCTGTTGACGGAATGGTGCGTTACAGAGAGGAATGGTCCGGCCGGGGAGCATGTTTTCCCCGCCGGATCGCGGTAAGTACTTGGTAACCTTAAGTGGGAGCCTTTAGAAAACCTGGAGTGCGTGAGGAAGGGGGAGCTAAACCCTGCCCCCTTCCATGCCTGGCTCCAGTCCTTGCAGTGGTTTTTCTCTTAGCTTGACTCCCATACTGGAAGTAAGCTGGACTCAGAGAAAAACGCTGAAGAATCAACAGAGTGCCCTGAGGTCAGGTAAGTGGCATAGGAATCTCCTTACATGCACACTCCGTTTTTATTTCACAATATACTCCATACACTGTTTGAGGATTCTGGGGAAAGAGGAAACCTCACATGACAGTGTTGTCTTCCTATGCTAGCCCTGCGGATGAGAAAGTTAATTGTGTATAAAATAAGGATCTGTTCTCCTATCCTTCTGAAATTTCCCACGGAGATTCCGTTCTGTGAAGGTCACAGTCCTGAAGAATATCATTCCAGTTGGATAGGAAATAAAAGAAGCTTGGAGTATGTTTACCATTGGCCTCTTTGTGGCATTACATTTGGGAGTATCTAACTGCATCTACCAAGACCATGCACTACCCTTCATCCTCCCGGTCCCTATTTTATCCCAGGGTTGCATGTTGCGTGCACTGAAGCTGCAAGTATGTGTGGCGCCCTAATGTCAGAGTTCCGCAGCAATCAGTTCTCAACACCATTCCTTCAGAAGGTTCAAGTTTATTGAGTACAGTAAAGGCAGTTCATCTGTGCATATGTTCTGTGTCAGAACTAATTGCAAGCATGCAAAATGAGAAGACGCTTCAAAACAGGGTCCCCTGATGGGTCTGAGCCAATCAGGAATTAAGATGAAGCCCGCCTAAGCTAACGGGCCTGCGTTCCCAGCGAAAGCATCAGCAGCATGGTACCAAGGTCACAGGCCTAGGCTAGCAGATAAGATGAGGCGAAAGCTAAGATTCCAGCAGAGCAACAGACTATTCATCAGGGGGGCCCTTCCACCTGCCGTGGCAGCAGTCTAGCTGACACCTAATCAGTCAAAATGGTGACTGCTTATATATAGAGGGTTACAGGTAGCATGCGTCCCAGTGTGTGTTGTTGGATATCCCCAAACGTAACATCTGGAACAGGCTACTGAAACCAAGGGAAATAAAAACTCACATCTTGAACCCTGTTCACAAATCGAGCTTTTAAAAACATTTAAGCAGTTGAATACAAGATTTTGTTAAAAATCTGCAGCCCTCCGTACCTCCAGTTGGTTTTAACTGACGTCTTGCCTCTGCTGATAGCCGCTGAAGCATCTCAGTGACGCTTGTCTGACCCCCCTTTGAATACCGTCCGGACTCTTCAGCAGCAGTAATGCAGCAAAATGTGTTTTATGCAATACGCTATACTGTTATCTTTCTTTCTCTTTCAAATTTCTCCACTCTAGGTGACAACGGACGAATTCATGAACTATTACGCTGGTGTCAGTGCCTCGATAGATACGGATGTCTATTTCATTGTGATGATGAAAAATGCTTGGAAAATCTGATTGTACGATTTTATAAAAACAACACCTTCCCCCTCCCTCCCTTTTCTTCTTGCTTGTAACATCTCCTTAGCCTCGCATGCAGAACGGAGCGGTCGTGTTAAATGGGATTTAAACCACGCAGTAAAAGAAAGAACAGTCCCCATGAACACGGCTGGTGTTCTGGCAGGACCACTCCTGGGGGCAGAAGGGCCTCTTACTTCACCAAACACAGGTTGCCAAAACGTGCAGTGTGACCGTGGAGGCATTTTGAGCAGAAAAATAGCAGGCGGTAGGGGCAAGGACTTGACTCTTTCTTGCCTGTGGTTCTTTCCCTGGGGGGGGGAGATCCAAAGGAGAGATTGCAGGGGAGGGGGAATACCCCCTCTCTCATTTGACTTGTGTTCTATAAAAGACAAAAAAAACCTATTGGGGGGGGGGGGGAGATCCAAAGGAGAGATTGCAGGGGAGGGGGAATACCCCCTCTCTCATTTGTTCATGTACTATAGTCCAAATAAAGCTCATTCCTCCTGCCGTAACTGAAGTAAGGATAAATTACAGTAACCTTTCAGAGAGGTGTGTGTGTGTTTTTAAGGTCTTGTACCTGGCATTGTGTTGGATCTAAAGCATGACTGTACAGGAAGAAGAAGAAGAAGAAGAGATTGGATTTATACTGCGCCCTTCACTACACAAAGGTGTCCCAGTGCGGCTTACAATCTCCTTTCCCTTCTCCTCCCCACAACAGACAACCTGTGAGCAATTTTCCCTCTAAGCTGTGGAGTCTTGTGAGCAAAAATTCTACTTTGTGAGCTACTGGCATTAAAGTTTTGAGCGAGCGATTTGGCTACTACATACATTCGTTTGCTTTGGAGTCATCCTTCCTGAGCTAAGACAAAAATGTGTGAGCTGGAGGCTAAAAAACTGTGAGCTAGCTCACACTAACTCAGCTTAGAGGGAACACTGCCTGTGAGGTAGGTGGGGCTGAGAGAGCTCTTGACAGAAACTGCTCTTTTTCGAGAACAGCTCTTATCAGAACCATGGCTTGCCCAAGGTCCTCCAGCCAGGTGCGAGTGGAGGAGTGGGGAATCAAACCCGGTTCTCCCAGATTAGAGTCCGCGCACTTAACCACTACACCAAACTGGCTGAAGTGTGGACAGAAGAGGCAGAAAGGGTAATTTCATCCCCTTTCCACTCCCTACCGCAGCCTCCTAATGGGTGTGGCTATTACTCCACGTGGGTCCCATGAGCCTGGGAATCAAGTTTGCCATGGCCAGAAATGGCAGCCAACAGCAAATTCCACTGAGAGATTGCTGGATTCCACCCATTTCCCCCCTCTTTTTCTGCCTGTGAACTTCGCTTCTACTTACACCTTTGAGAACTCCTTTCCCTCCCTCAGATACAATCTCACACTTAAGGCAGGTCATTAAACGCTAAATCTGATCTTCTGCCTGCAACCAGTTCCTGAACATGTCATTGAGACGTTTTGCTTCCTACCACATGGACAGGAGACGAACAGGCATCCACAGGTCCTTGGTAGAGGACAATCACATTGCATTCACTGGGTAAAACAAAGGGGAGATCATTTTTTAATTTAAAATATTATTTATTTAAATGCTGGTATGCTACATTATTCCATGTTCAAAGTTCCTTTGCCATATTTTTGGGAGAACCAGGAGCATCATAAAACCAAAGTGTACCAAAAGAAACGTCTCCAGTATAAAAATAAAAATTAAGGAATGTACACATGAAACTGAACAAGACCCTCGGTCCAACAGCGTCAGTATTGTCTACTCAGACTGGCAGCAGTTCTTCAGCGACTAAGGCAAGAGCTCCTTCACATCACCTACTGCAAGATCCTCTGGAGATGCCAGAGATTGAACCTGGGACCTCCTGCGTGCCAAGCAGATGCTGTGCCACTGAGCCACGGCACCAGCGTGTAAAACAATGCTTGAGGACCTACATAGGACAAAACTACTGAGTGCCCACTGACAACAAATTCATTGTCTGCAATGGTTTTGATTAAAATACTTGTAAAATTGAGCAGCAACATAATAGGTTCAAGTTTTAACTGTTGTGTTAGGAAGAGCCAACCCATTGGCAGCCACAGTGAATAGCAGATGCTGTTCTTATCCATGAGAAGCCATTTTCAGAGCTTAAATATAGTAAAGGGGGGGGAGGAGACTGAAAAAGAATTCAGGTTCACACTCTCCATTAAAATTGGCCAAACAACGACGCATTGACAACCTGCTAATGAAAGAACTCTTAAGTGAAATCTCTACTCTTTCCTTTCCTAATACATATAAGGCCTTGGAATTAGGAGGTGAACCGATGACTCAGTTCTCTCCAGGCACAAAAATACTGGCGCAGTCCCTTGCATGATAACTTGGGACAGCCTACCGTTGTTTTTTTTAACATACCGGCAGGCACGCTACAAAATGTAGTTCAGCCAAGATGAAGCATCACGGCATATTGAAACATGTAAAGAAATTCAAAGAGACATGCCAGGGAAAGCTGAAGGGGAAGAGATGGATTGACGCGATCAAGGAAGCCATGGTCCTCAGCAGAACCTGAGTCAAGGCAGTTAACGGCAACGGCAGGATGTTTTGGAGGTCATTAATTCACAGGGTCGCCATTAAGTCGGAAGCAACTTGACGGCACTTAAACACATGCACGCACAGAGAAACCGTACTGATTAAAAATGGACAGTGTTTCTCAGGTTATCTCAAAGATGACTCACAAACTAGATTCTTGTATCCTGCATGGAAAGGAAAACAGACTAGAAGGACTTGGAAGCCACCTGTGCCCTTTTGACAATCCATCCACGTGTTTGACTCACCACGCAGAGAGGGAGAGCAGGCAGGAACGGGTGTGCTGGCCCCGCCCACCACCTCGACATGATTTACTGAGCCATCTGCATGGTGCACATGCACAGAGGAAGTACCTATGTGCACACCCTCTTCTTGTGGTCAGCAGTGTCTGGAAAGCAACATGGCTGATCATAGGGAGGGAATGTAGCCTGTGGGAGCTTTCTCCGCATGACCATCTGGCCCGTAGCTATGGTGGGGCTATTGGGTGCTCCGTCCCCTTCCTTAACCCCCCCCCCGCTTCTTAAAGGCTCCCCTTCTTCCCAAAAGCATTTAAAGGTTAAGGCGCTTAAGGCTCTTTAGCTTGGAGAAACGACGACTGAGGGGTGACATGATCGAGGTTTATAAGATTATGCATGGGAAAGAGCAGGTAGAGAAAGAGGTACTTTTCTCCCTTTCTCACAAGACAAGAACTTGTGGGCACTCCATGAAATTGCCGAGCGGTCAGGTTAGAATGGATAAAAGGAAGTACTTCTTCACCCAAAGAGTGATTAACACTTGGAATCCAGGTATATAGTCTCCTAAAGTATATTCGCCAACCAGGTATATACTCTCCTAAGGTATAATGAAATAGATGCAAGTGTTTGCAGGAGGTTTGCATGCAGCAATTGTTCCTTTTCCGTTCCCCCAACTAGTTTGTTATTGCACTTAGCAACAAGTCTTTTATCATAAACGCCACAAGCAAATAAGCTTGCTGTTTTTCCAATGCATTTTTTGTTGCGGAGAATAGAAAGGAAAGGAAAGTTGGTCACCCGGGTATACATTTTAACAGCAGCAAAGGATTCGTTCTCACACCAAATCCAAATACAAGAGGAGGCAGGATGGCCAGCTTCAAACCCGTGGATTCACCTTTAAAACGCAACAAGTCAACAATGGAGGTTCCGGGCTGAGCTGCCAGTGTGGAATCCCTCTGCGATGGAAGAAGCGAATCCACCCCGCCCTTGACACGCACCTGTTCAAAGCAGAGCAACCCCCATCAGAGCCCTACCAGGGCAAAAAAGAAAGAAGCATGTCATCATGAAGGCTGGAATATGACCAGCACAAAGTATCCCATTGTATGCCCTCATTGTTGACTCTAAGGGGGACACTTTGTGACATCTAGTTTCCTGGGTTCCCCTTGCTTTCAAAAAAGCTCGCCATAGTGACATAAGCTTCCTCTTTGTTCGATACCTTAACTTGACTGTTGGCATAAACTGGGGGGCGGGGATCTGCCTGGCAGAATTCTAATCCAGGCAGAACGGTGGGATCCCGCAATGCACTTGAATGGGTATTGAGAGCATCATCACAGCCGTGTTGACCACTAGCGCCCCTCTCGTTATAGAGGTTGGCTTTGGTGAACTCATCGCCGTTGATGTGGTTACCTCTGCCCAAATGCCTGTTCAGCAACTCGGCAGGCCACATTCCTTCATACGCCAGAGGCAGCTTCAGCCAGCCGTGATTGATGTGACTCAGGTTGTTTGTCAGTTCAAGTCCGCTCCCGACCTTCTCCAGAACATCCACAGACCATGGAAGCAGCAAGTGCTGGAGATGCTCCATTTCTGACTTGGCTTGAATGCTGTCCACTTTGTGGATGTGTGCATACCCGTAACTCTCAGGATTGAAGAAGCTGATCTCGGAGTTCTGTAGGAACAAGGGAAGGGTTGGTATCAGCACGAACAGCTTCAGAAACCTCAGGTGTAAATTCCTGAGAGTGGCTTTTATTTTTTTGAAGCCTCCATTAGCAATAAGGTGGGGAGGGAAACCAAAGGTTTAGAATAAACATCAGATTCTTGTGAGACGTTAACTTGCTTATGGCATGAGGCCACAACCTGTTTCATCACATGCATAACATCAGATTCTTGTGAGACGTTAACTTCCATATGGCATGAGGTCATGCAGGCCACATCCTGCTTCATCACATGCCTTGTTGTTTTGTTGCAACAGACTTTACACAGCTACCATTCTGGACTAAACTCGGTGCAAGTCTGGAGAGAAAGTGCAATATTTTGGGGGTTTAGCATCTATGAATGATGGGTCCAATATTAATTTTCTTTCCTAGAATTTTTTTAAGATAATGAGTCGGGCCAAAGGCTTCAGTCTTTCTCATATCAGAATGGTCTGGTAAGATTGTGACTACTGTTTAGGTGTCCTCTTGATGCTTTTGGTATCTACTTGTAATGATTATGAATCTGCTGTCTTCTCTGTTTACCGTACCTCTGTGTGAGAAATCATTGAAAAACCTGTCCATTGGAAAGGGATAGCAAAAAATAAAAATCGGGGGGGGGGATGTTTTATGATTAGGATTGCCCTCATCATCCACTTCTGTGGTGGCAGAATTTTTTTTTTTTTAATAAACTTAAAAATAAACTGTTGGTGCTTTGTGCACCATGACATCACTTCTGGGCAAAATCCGGAGGGGATGTCTGGTAGCTCTAGGAATCTGCCAAAACTTTATGGTTTTACCCGAGAGTGGGGGGAGGGATGTTTTATGATTAGGATTGCCCTCATCATCCACTTCTGTGGTGGCAGAATTTTTTTAAAAAAATAAACATAAAAATAAACTGTTGGTCCTTTGTGCACCATGACATAACTTCTGGGGAAAATCTGGAGGGGGTGTCTGGTAGCTTTAGGAATCCGCCACAACTTTATGGTTTTACCCGAGATTTTCTGGTGATTTCTAGAGCCACCTGATGTCCCTCCTGGGTTTTCCTCAGATGTGACATCATGGTGCATGTAAAACCGGTCATGCAGCATGTGACAAGGCTACGTTGGCAGAGTCTGTGTAAATCTTATTGACCAGGTCTGTACTGTAGACATAGCCAACTGCAGATGTAGGGTTCACGTCACAAACACTGGAGGGCGACTGGCTCTGGTGACCGCTTTGTACCAGGACAAATATGTTCTTATCCCAGTGATGCTACCACCATGGTCTCACCTCCCGAGCTCCCGCATGGCCCTAATAGGTCTGCTCTGCATCACTGGGATAAGAACATATTTGTCCTGGTACAAAGCGGTCACCAGATCCAGTTGCCCTCCAGTGTTTGTGACGTGAACCCTACATCTGCAGTTGGCTATGTCTACAGTGCAGACCTGGTCAATAAGATTTACACAGACTCTGCCAACGTAGCCTTGTTACGTGCCGCGTGACCGGCTTTAAAAAGCAAAGCATGCTGGCGAAGCATATTGGATAAACAGCCAAAAGCACAGTCAAAAACAAACTGTAGATCACCGTTTCTTTTCTGCTGAGGACCTGCAGAACTCATTCTTACAGAACCTTCCCTTTGACAGAAGTAGCGGGAGCACAAACCTTTCTCAGTTTGTTGCAGAGTTTATCCAAGGTTTTCTCATGGTTGGGGATGGCTGGCCACACAATGGGTTTGATCCTGAAAGAGAAGATAACAGCAGTTATAGAAATTAAGAGAATGATCCTGATGATATCATCTAGAAGAAGAAGAGATTGGATTTATACCCCGCCCTTCACTTGGAGTCTCAGAGCGGCTTACAAACTCCTTTCCCTTCCCCTCCCCACAAACAGACACCCTGTGAGGTGGGTGGGGCTGAAAGAACTCTGACAGAAACTGCTCTTTTTCAAGGACAGCTGTGTCAGAGCTTGTGGCTGACCCAAGGTCACATCAGCAGGTGCAAGTGGAGGAGTGGGGAATCAAACCCGGTTCTCCCAGATTAGAGTCTGCACACTTAACCACTACACCAAACTGGCTCTACAGTGGAGCCTAGGAGTGCAACAGCAGGATAGTGATGATGCCCCAACAATATGCACAGATTTTGCACCTCTGTCTCGTTTATCTTTTTAAAAAGCCAAGCCGCTACCCCTAGGTGCCCAACCTTCAGTCGAAGGGGGGGACGGGACCCTGTTGTTTTTCATAGAAAATTTACCAAGCACCCCACAGGTTTTAAGAAACATTAGCTGTCTTTTGGCAAATCCCAAATATCATTTCTATAGTGACGGACAGTAATCAGACCAGAAGCCACATTACATTTCAGAACACTGAATATCAGGCAAGACATGGGTGACCTACAGAACTGCAAATCCACCTACCTATTTTTGTCTACCAAGTGTGGACTTTCAAGAGAAGTGGACCAGGGGGAGACAGTTCATAATTTTGCATTAAAATGGCCAGGAAAATGAAGCTTGTGGGGTGGGGCTTTTTTTTTCCTGGTGGGGCTGAAGTTCTCAGTGCAGAAAGAAAAGACAGAATTCTTATGATTATGACTCACCTACTGTGGAACCAAGCCTTTTAAAATCAAAGCATAGAGGCTTCTGCAAATCTCAGTTCCAGAGTGTGATAATAGAAAGTTCTCAGCTGCTGCAAGTTAATCACTTCTGCCAGCCTAAGCAACAACTATGATGACAAGCCGGCAAGTGTGGGTGATGACTTCTATAGTCAAGAAAGCTAACACTTAGGCAGAAAAACTCTCTTAGAGGAGAGCAGTTTCTTGACTTGAGTTAGAAGGGATCCTAGAGGTCACCTATTCCAACCCCCTTGCTCAGTGCAGGAAATAGTCAGCTACAGCACCCCACTCTGCTTAAAGGAGTGTGCACCTTTAAAAATGTTTTAAAATGATTGAAAAGAGCATTTACAGGATAAATTCTTGTGGGGCTGTGCCTTTAAGAAAGGGGGCAGAGCCCCCCAAAACTCCACTGTAGCGATGGGCCTGCATTCAAGTGAATTGGTCTGTTTATAAATTGTTTCTACCAATGTTGATCCATTATAAAAACAATTTAATCAAGCCATCAATGAGATATATTAGGACAAATCCAAACAGCAAGCTTTGGAAGACTCTTTTTTAGGCTGGATTAAAAATGTAGCCACTGGGGAGTGGGGCGGTGGAGTTTGAGGCATGGTAGAGAAGTCTCAGTGTGGGCCAGAGTGTAATTTCTGCAATGTAGAAAATACAGTTTCCGAATGAAAACAGACATTTTGCTTCCTCAGTTGTATGTATGAGACAAGGCTGGGATAGGCACGAGGGAAGGGAACCATGTTACAAGTTTGTATTGCATCAAAAACAAAAATGCTCGGGCCCTGTTTCCATTTACACCAAAAGGGCTCCTATAGGACAAGATTCTAGGAATGAGCAGTTGCCAGTGACAAGGCAAGCATTTCAAATACCTGCTTTTCCAAAATATTGGGATCAGAGAAATTAGGACAAGCAGTACAAAGAAGCCCACAAAGGATGCTGTTATCAGGATTACTTCATTACCTAAGGAAAAGAAAAGGATATATATCTCTTTATATAGTAAATACATATTTCTATTATCCTTGAATAAATGAATGAATGAATATCTCTTTATAGAGCCTTGTTGTATTTGTCCTCAAGAGTAAAAAAACCCCCATTATTAATTATTATTATTAATTATTGTTATACTAAGCCTGTTCGGAAGGGCATGCTGCTGCTATGATGTTTTTGGCCCCGATCCACTTCTAGGTTTGCTTTGTTCCATGAAAGTCACCCCAAACGTAAATGCACATCTGCATCCTGATATTCCACATCCATCAAGTTACATGAGGACTGCCTGAGCGTCACTTTGGCTGTTTGCAAAGAGCTCCTTTGTTGGATTTGAATGGCTGAATGTGGCAAACCAAACGCTTACTTACTATTAAACTCTGGACCAGTCTGAGCTACTTTTGAACTGGTGGGGGTCACCCTTCTCACTTGTTGCAGAAATAACTTCGTAATTCTTTTGGCTGAGGTGGCGGACATCTAATTCATCTCTCCCCCTGCGCGCGCTACTCACATGGTTTGTACTGCTGCAGTGCTCTAATGCCCATTCTGACTTGCCCTACTTAAGAGAACAACAAAGCATTACCTGGCAAAGGGTAGCTACTTATGACCATCTTAACCAGCTTCCTTCAGGAGGCACCTGAACTCCCGAAATAGTTGCCATCTTTAGATCTGATTAGAAATTTTATTGTTAATTGTTAACTGGATTGTTGTTGTTTTTAATGTTTTAGTGACCTGCCCTGAGCCCTCTTGCGGGGGAGAGTGGGATATAAAGAGTGGAATATAAACCAAATAAATCATATATCTAATTCTGAACCCGGCCCCTATATAATAGGGGAGAAAAACTGACAATGAGGCCATGTTCTGATATGGGGAATTCCCTTCAGACCTATAATGGATGTAGGAGAACCTTCCTTTCCAGAGCTCCTAGGATCAGATGATCTTGAACAATGACTAAAAGAATAATACATTATTGACTAAAGGAAACTATGTTAGACAGAAATTTGGCGACCAAGTAGGAATATAACCCCCTTGGAGTTTATTAAACAGAGAGTGTGTTAAAAGTGGTGAGATCCAGCGACTCCTCCTTCCTCCTGCCACATGAGCCAGGCAGCTATTGATGGCAGATCTGCAGAAGAGGAAGCTGGCCAGCAAGTAGGTGGCCTATTGAGTGTTTGTGCCCCCCCAAAAAAACATGGATTCCCCTGCTCCCACAATTCTCACGAGTCCCCCACTTGTTATATATAATTCTCAACATGGCCTAAGATTTGCATCCATACATCCAGACATGGGCTCCATTAACAGACAAGACAGATGTTTCTACAAACCCTAGAAAAGCCCCAGGTTTGCTGATGAATCTGAAGTCAAAACAAAAATACACTGGGAGGCGGTGGTTAACCACCCTTCAAACAGTAGAAGCAGAGGCTGTAGCTTTAAGACATGAAAGCCCTCTGAGATCTCAGTGTCCATTAAAGGGGTTGCTAAGCAACTACAACATTGTTGCCAGCCTCCAAGCTCTGGCTTCGATCAGTAAAAGGCAAAGGTTAGGGCATTTTCTAGGGCTATTTTGGCTCTTAGTCCACCCTTGTTCCCATCTCCCTTGCAGTGAAACAAGGAGCCATCAGGGCCAGGGCCAGCAGCAGTTATTGGATGGCTTGCTACCACGCAACTTGCACAACTCATCCAGGTCCAACAGTGGCTACAGGATGACTTCGTGCCATGTGTTGTAATATATACAAGCAGCCTCTCAGGACAAGTTTCTGCTTTGCATGTCTTTCAGTTTTGGCCCTTCAGGGCACCTGTATGGCAGTCAGTGGCTGAGCAAGCTGATTGAGAGAGTGACTGAAAGAAGGCCCAGCCTGAGAGCTAAATAAAAACCATTCTTAAGTTGAAGCAAAGCTGACGTGTCCTATTGTTCATGATGTTACACTATGAAATATACCTTCCACACAACTTGAGCAAGCTGTACGAAATATACCTTCCACACAACTTGAGCAACTTGGCCAGGGCCAGCTGTGGCCACTGCACTACTCACCCGAGCACCTTGCTTCCACATGACTATTGCAACTTAGCCAGACAGGGAGAGGCTGCTAGGGGGAAGGAAGCAGAGAAAACTGAGAGCCAGCGTCTCTTCACTATTTTCTCCTGCAGTTGTGGAGAGAGTGGCTACTTCACTGTCCACAGGCTCATGGGTGCCCTCATTCATTGTGCTTGGGTCTTTTGAGCATTTTTATCTAGTTTTCAGCTTTGTGAGTTTTTCTTCTTTTGTGGGGAAAAAAATAACAAACAAATATTCACCGTGGGATTTCTAGTATGGAAGGTTATGGTGATCTTGAGAACCGGCTCCTGGAGTCTTCTGACACAATGACATCACCTGGAAGTGACATCATCACACTGGGCACATTGTGCAGGGGGTACTCTAGCTCAAGTGGTTAAGACGCTGAACTGCAGGCTGCGGAAGGTCAGTAGTTCAGCAGTTCGAGACCCGGGTGCCGCATGACGGAGTGAGCTCCCGTCTCTAGTTCCAGCTCCTGCCAACCTAGCAGTTCGAAAGCAAGAAATTGCAAGTAGATAAATAGGTACCGCTTCAGTGGGAAGGTAACAGCATTCCGTGCACCTCAGTGTTTAGTCATGCCGGCCACATGACCACGGAAACGTCTTCGGACAGTGCTGGCTCTTCGGCTTTGAAACGGAGATGAGCACCGCAACCCTAGAGTCGGATTCGACTGGCTTTTGAGTAAGGGAACCTTTACCTTTACTTACTCTAGCATTTGGGTAAAAAACTCTATGGTCACCAGCTGGCCGGCAGCAGATTGGGGCCCCTGATAGCAGGTGAACCCCCACCCCCATTGGGGGGTTGTCAACCCTAATTCCAAAGGTGAGGTGCCATGTCGGGTGGGGGGAACCCCTGACTCTAGTTGCTACTCACTTCACCTCTGTAGGTGGGAGCACAGAGAGCAGGGCTTCGGGACGTGATCTTAACTAGTGGGCTGGAGAATATGGGTGAAGATGCCCCTTTAAGTACCCTGGTCCCAAGCCATTTAGGGCCGTATTTGAATTGTGCATCAGCACCCCTGTTTTTGCTGGATTGAGCTTTAGTTTATTGACCCTCATCCAGTTTAGAGGGTTAGGGTTAGGGTTAGGATTAGGTTTAGGGTTGCTGCCTTCAACTTCTTCCAAAATTTTGGTGAAAAGGAGAAGTACAACAGAGTATCACGATGAACCAATGTACTTATTTCCTCTGGCATTCTCTGTGCAGTCTGGATGTAGGCAGAAGAGCTCCATTCACTCCACGAGCCTTTGAAAACATTTCCACTGGGCTTGGACCGGACGTTTAGGCCATACTTTGTGCTTGGTTGAAATTCCCTTCTCAGAAGTGTTAACGGAACATGTTGGAATTCTTTGGTCTGAAATATGGGAGACAATGTTTATTTACTTTTCAAGAACGTAGAAAACAGGATCACTTCCAGAAATCGTACTGTAGGCACTTGGAACATTTATCACCCCCAAATGTCAAAAGGCTTTTGACAAGATTTCTCACCAAAGGCACCTGAGTAAATTTAGCAGTCATGGGATAAGAGGACAAGGTTCTCTTATGGATTAAAAAGTGGTTAAATGACTGGAAGCAAAGAGTAGGACTCAATGGACAGTTCTTACAGTGGACGGAAGTAAGCAGTGAGGTCCCACAAAAATCAGTTTTGGGGACGGTACTCTTTAATTTATTCATCAATGATCGGGAACTAGGGGTGAATGGTGTACTGGCCAGGTTTGCAGATGGCACAAAATGATTCAGGATGTGGTGAAAACCAAGGCTGACTGTGATGAGCTGCAAGAGGACCGCCACAAAGTGGGTGTGGCAAATGAAGTCCAATGCTGGTAAGTGTCAGGTGATGCACTTAGGGAGAAAAAAAAATCCCAACTTCAAGTATAGGCTAACGGGGTCTAAACATGCAAAGACTTAGGCTGCGGTCACACACAATAAATAATCCACTTTCCAACTGGATTTTTACTGTGTGAACCGGCAAAATCCAGTTGGAAAGTGCATTGAAAGTGGATTATTCAGTGTGGGTGTGACCGCAGCCTCTGAGGGGAAAAGATCTTGTGGCCGTAGTGGATAGCTCAATGAAGGTGTCAGCACAGTGCTCTGCAGCAGTGAAAAAGGCAAACTCTATGTTATGGATTTATTAGGAAACAAATTGAAAATAAAACAGCCCCTGTATAGTTCTGTGGTGTGGCCTCATTTGGAATACTGTATACAGTTCTGGTCACCATATCTCAAAAAAGACACTGCAGAGCTGGAAAAAATACAGAAGAGGGCAGCCAAGATGATTAGGGGGCTGGAGCACCTTCCCTATGAGGAAAGGCTGAAGAGTCTGGGACTTTTCAGTTTAGAAAAGAGACGACTAAGGGAGGGGGGGAGTTGAAAAAGAGATTCCCCCCCCCTCCATCTTCCAAAATGCTAGAACTCAAGGGCATCAAATGAAGCTGATGGGCAGGACAAAAGGAAATACTAATTTACACACAGAGTGATTAAAATGTGGAATTTGCTTCCACAGGAATACACAGTTTTAAAAGGGAATTAGATTCATGAAGGACTAGGAATAAGGCCTGTTGTGGAGAGAAATGCAACAAGCTCTAGGAGGAGGGCCTGGGGGAGTGTGGTGGCCTGTAGCAGTTGCCGGGGGGGCCCCGCCCCCAGTAGCCGCAGGCGAGTGGCATGGGCAGACCACTGCTAGGCACAGGGTGGGTTTGGGCAGCATGCAGGGTTTGGTGTGAGCGGGGCCACCGCCTCCCCGCCCCTCCCTTGCAAGAAGAAGGGGCGGCAGCGGCCTTGTCCTCTGGACCCAGCAGCAGGCAGAGCAGCACCCTCTGCCGCTGTCACCCTGGTTCCTGCCACTGGGGTAGGGCAGCAGGAGGCAGTTGGCATGGCGGCGGCTCTGCATTAGGAAGGCCTTGTGGTGTGTGTGGTGGTGGTGGCAGTGGAGCCTGGCGCGGAACGGCGGCAGAGCTGCTTCGACTGAGAGGGGCGATGGCAACAGGGCGGCTGGCAGAGGGGTGGCCTCCTGCCACAGCAGGAGCCACTGCCCACTCCCGCTTCCTCCTCAACTGCTTCCGAGTCCGCCTGCAGTTCTGCACAGTTGGGCTGCGGCACGGAGCAGTTGTGGAAGCAGGCGGGGTGTGTGCAGGGAGGAAGCGGCTCCTTAGGGCTGTGCATGAGGAGGCCAAGCGTGGCAGGGCTCGGCTGAGGCAGCGGTGGTGCCATCTCGCACGTGCTCACAGAGGATGATGGCTGGAGCGTCCATCCCATTGGTCGGCTCAGAGCACACTGAGGCGGAGATGCTGGCAGCCACCTCTGTGGGCAGGATGGAGGCAAGGCAGCCAGCCAATGCAGCCAGGGGATTGGCAGACCTTCAGAGTGGCAGCCGAAGGATCCAAAGGCTGTGGGAGCGCGTGGAGCGTTCACACCAAAACTCTTTTATATATAAGGAGAGACAGGTCTATCAGTGGCAACCAGCCATGGTGACTGAGCGAAACCTCTGTGTTCAGAGGCACTAAACCTCTGAATCTCAGAACCAGGAGGCAACATCAGGGGAAGGTGTGCCTCTGTGCCCTGTTGTTGGCCCTCCAGAGGAACTGATTGGCTTATGTGTGAAACAAAAAAGAACACCACTGGCAAAAAATAATAACGCACAAGCAAGTAAGCAAGTATATAATGATTAAATAAGCATAACAGCAAGTATAATATAAATCAAATAAACATAACAAGTATGATATAAATCAATAGGCCAAAGTGCAATAATGAATCATAATAGAAACAAGTAACAGTCTTTCCATGTGTCTACTCCAGCATAGAAGCAATATCAAAGTCCAAATTGGAGTGCAATTCATCAAATTTTCTGAGCCATAAAAAGCCGACGCATAATCCGGATGCCTGTTGCCGCGTTTCAAATAATTCTTATTCAAGCATAGCTGTAATGGGACCCAGTCTCAAAAGCTGGCATACACTAAGCCAGAATGGTCAGTCAAGGAGGATTAAGGGTCCTTGCTGATATGCTGATATGGCTAGACCATAGGGCTCTTCTTATATTTATGTTAACAATTTTTTTTCTTTGTGTGAAAATCCTCCTCATTGGTAAAGATCTCATTTCAAAAATGCTTTGTTGGAATTCAAAGCACAGTACATACGTATGTTGGCCAAATACATTGGATGGATAGGCTTCTAAGGTGCTGCAGAAGGTTGTCATCCTATCAGAGATGTGTTTGGGTCCCATGCTTTGGAACTGGCTGGGATCTGGGAGTTAAATGAGGAGTAGGCTTGCCATTTGATTGCCTGTGGTGGACAATCAATCTCCTTGATCCTAATCTCCAGCCCTCAAGAGCTGAAGGAGCTGGTTAGAAAAATGGTTGGAAAATGGCATCCACAGTGACACCCTAGGAATTTCCATATGTCTCTATGATCTTTACCATAGAAACGGAGGGGATTCTGGAGCATCGCTCAAAGGGAGCATAATATCCTCCACAAAGCATTGCCTTCAACATCTCTCAGCATGGGACAACATCTCCCATGGGACAATTTCATCAAGACCTTAATTTTAAGGGTACGTGAGAAGCGTAGTAAAAACAGTCCGTAAAATTTAGTTGTGCCTCTCCAGCCTGCAGTGTTCCCTCTAAACTGAGTCAGTGTGAGCTAGCTCACAGTTTTTTAGTCTCTGGCTCACACATTTTTGCCTTAGCTCAGGAAGGATGGCTCCAGAGCAAACTAATTTATGCAGTAGCCAAATCACCTGCTCACAACTTTAATGCCAGTAGCTCACAAGGTACAATTTTTGCTCACAGGACTCCATAGCTTAGAGGGAACATTGCCAGCCTGTCGTGATATTTAATGCAAAACTGGGGTGGCTCATGCCAACCATGGAAGCAACACAAATTGGGGCACCCACAGAAAAGGCAAGGGTTTCTACCTATTCAGGGTACTTCCCAGGAATGCAGAAAAAATATGACTTAACCAAATGCAAAAGATATCCAGTCTCCGTAGCCCTACAATAGGGTATTTCTTACATAGATTTAATTGGCCAAATGCATTTAATCTAAGGAGGATGAGGATTCCAAGGAGAGACTAAGTAGAGGACAAATCGCTGTGAAATGAGTGGAAATCGGATACCATGATTCCATTCATCAATGCACTGTATACTACATAGCTGCTTCTTTCCATAACGTTCAACTAAAAAACAAACCTGAAACAGATTATTATTTTTTGGCAAACAGTCATCCTTAATTGAAAGTGGACCAAATGCTCACTTGGCTACTCGTGGTCCAGTTGGCGTTTTCAGGCCTGTAGGCTATTTCGTATATTAAGGACTTTTGTAGATATATTTGTAGTGGAATGGAGAATTGAACCAGATAAGCATCTTCCTTTTCTTGGTATGTGACGTTTAAGTCAAATGGTGCTTCGGGCTTAACTGTAAGAGACAGTGTGAAAAGAAAAAAGCATAACATGTACTTGTCGCTTCCTTATTGGGGGGGGGGGGTGTAAATCAGAGTAAAGGCCAGCTGGGCAAGTAGTGACTTCTGCCCTTCAGCGTAAGCATGGCCTTCCTCAGGTTCCATTATCTACTTCATTTTCAGTCAAGTGCCAGCCACATGCCCCCAGATTCAGAATTAGCAGCGACCTTCCTGCTGCACCCCATGTACAATGCGCCAGAGCACTGGATGGGCTGCATGTGGGCTGCACTTAGAGCTTTTTTTCTGAGGGAATGCACCAGAACGGAGTTCCGGAACCCCTTTGACAAAATCTTTTAAAAATGTTTAAAAGTTCTTGAATTTTCGGTATACAGATCGAAAATTTCATTTCCCTCTTGAGAGTTCCGGCACCTCTTTAAAAAAGAAAGAAAGAAAGAAAGCCCTGGGTGCACTATTACATGTAGCAGTCCATATGCAACAAGTAGATTTATTTATTTATTTATTTATTTATGCTGTACTTTTTTACAAAAATCCCACCCTTCCTCCAATGAGCTCAAGAAAGTATACATGGATCTCTTTTCCTCTACTTTCTTATTTCATAATCTAAAGTCACCCAGAAAGCTTTATGGCAAGTGGACATTTGAACGCAGGTCACCCCGGTCCTCAGAGCAGTTTACAATCTCCTTTCCCTTCCCCTCCCCACAACAGACACCATGTGAGGTAAGTGGCTCTTTCGAGAACTGCCCTTGAGAGAGCAATTTTCTCGGTGGAGGGTGGTAAGCAGTGGGGTACCGCAGGGATCAGTACTTGGTCCAATACTTTTTAACTTGTTTATTAATTATTTGCATTGGGAGTAAGCAGTGAAGTGGGTAAATTTGCGGATGATACAAAGTTGTTCAGGGTGATGAAAACCAGGGAGGATTTTTTGTGAGGCACTCCAAAGGGATCTGTCAGGGATGGGCGAGTGGACATCAACATGGCAAATGGGGTTCAATGTGGCCAAGTGCAAGGTGATGCACCTTGGAGCCAAAAATCCTAAATATAAATACACATTGATGGGGTCTGAACTGGCAGAGACTGATCAAGAGAGAGATCTTGGAGGTTCCGGTGATGGTGGCGCACTAGAGCAGACTCACCTCCCAGACATCCCAAGGGTGAAGCTGAGCTCCAGCCGAAGGAGGGGGTGCGCAGGCTCGTTACCCCCCAAGGACCCGGCAAAGGGAACCTGGCCATGGAACGTTTGAGAGGTCGCCTCTTCGATGGTGGAATGCCAGAGAATTGAGGCGCTTCTCTGTTCCGATGGTTATCCGTGGTGCGAGACCGAATGGACTTAAGCAACGCTAACCAGGGCAAGCGCAGGAGATTGAGCGTCCAAAAATGAAAGTAAACGAGGTCTGAGGACCGATTATGAACGTGAGTCATTCAAACGTTGATTAAAGAGAAAAGAAAGCTCCCTACCCTATCTACGTAAAAGAGAATAAGGCGAGCGGGGGAGGGACACCTCCCAAGCGCATGAACTTTTGAGCGAATGGGGGGGGAGTGGAAGAATAAACGGTTAAAACGGTTAAGAAGTACTTACCAAGAGGTGTTCGAACGTTCAAGCGCATATTCAGAGACATTTTTAAAAATTGCGAAAGTAAACAATCCCGAGAAACATGGCGGGGAGGAGGACGGAAAAGGAGAAACTTTTGAAATCGAAAGGAGTTGAGAGCCCAAAACCAGAAGGAACCAACGAGCTGGCAAAGACTTTGGCAGAATCCATGCGCCCTCTAATGGACCAGCTGAATACCTTCAAGGAGCAGATGACCAAAGTGACTCAATGTATCACTGCTCAGCAAAACCAGATAAACGAGACTTTGAAAATGATAAGCCAAACAGCTGAGAAGGTGAAAGAAGTTGATGCCACTGCACAAAAGGTGAAGAAGAGATTAAAACAACTGGAAAAGAAGCAAGTCTCCATAGAAGATCAGCTGTTACTATTACAAATGGAAAAGGCTAATATGATTCTTCGCTTCCAGGGCATGCCAGAGACTAAGGGTGAGAATTTAAAGGAAACGATGAGTGAAATACTGGCCCCAGTGACAGAGATGAAGGTGGAACAGTTGATAAGCAATATGGATGTGGCCTATAGGACATATTCAGGATATATAAAGAAAAACAATCTGCCTGGGGAAATTGTCGTAAGATTCTCAAAGAGGCATGTGAGGGATGCAATCCTGAAAGCAGTATCTGGAGTACCACTGAAAGTGGGAGAAAATGTCATCAGAGTTCTCAAAGACATTCCATTTGAAATAAGGCAAAGGAGAAAGAAATACAAAGAGCTTATTCTCTTTCTTCTGACAAATTCAATTGGATATAGATGGCTAACTCCAGAAGGCGTCACCTTCACAATCAAGGATAAAAAAGAAAAGATTGACTCTGTTCTGAAAGCTCGGGAATTTTTAAAAGTCCAGATGGGAGGGCAAGGGGAGGAAGAAAAAGAAGAGGAGGACAGTAAGTCCAGTGGCGAGCTGGACTCGGATTCTTCCAGGAAGGACTCTCTCTCAGAGAAAGGGGCGGCTGCTCCTAAAAGTCCTTATAAGCTGCGGAAGAGAAGGGGCAAGGAGAAGTGAAGGATGAAGGTCTCTGATGTGTGCCTTTGAAAAACGATGAAATGAGATGTCGGGTTTTTTTTCTTAATAACAGTTGAATTTAAGATTTTAAAAAGTTAATGATATATCTGACTCAGTTTGTAAAAGGGATTAGCGGGATTAAGACTTGATGTTTGTGTAAATTGATTAGAAGATCTCCTCTCTTGGGTTTTTAGGTATTAGTGGGTATCTTTACTTTGTCCCTACATGTAGTCCCCTATCCTATTTCTGTTGTAGTTTGGAGTTGTAGTAGATAACTCACTGAAAATGTCGAGACAGTGTGTGACTGCAATAAAAAAGGCCAATGCTATGCTGGGGATTATTAGGAAGGGTATTGAAAACAGATCAGCCAATATCATAATGCCCCTATATAAATCAATGGTACGACCTCATTTGGAATACTGTGTGCAGTTCTGGTCACCACACCTTAAAAAGAATATTATAGCTTTGGAAAAAGTGCAGAAAAGGGCAACTCGAATAATAAAAGGGTTGGAACACTTTCCCTATGAGGAAAGGTTAAAGCGCTTAGGGCTCTTTAGCTTGGAGAAACAACAACTGAGGGGTGACATGATTGAGGTTTATAAGATTATGCATGGGATAGAGCAGGTAGAGAAAGAGGTACTTTTCTCCCTTTCTCACAATACAAGAACTCGTGGGCACTCCATGAAACTGCTGAGCGGTCGGGTTAGAACAGAAGGAAGTACTTCTGCACCCAAAGAGTGATTAACACATGGAATTCACTGCCACAGGAAGCGGTGGCAGCTACAAGCATGGACAGCTTCAAAAGGGAATTAGATAAGCATATGGAGCAGAGGTCCATCAGTGGCTATTAGCCACAAGGTATAGACAGGGACTCTGGGGCAAGTGATGCTCTGTCTTCTTGGTGCTTGGGGGGGGGGGTCAACAGTGGGAGGGCTTCTAATATCCTGGCCCCACCGGTGGACTTCCTGATGGCACCTGGTATTTTTGGCCACTGTGTGACAGAGTGTTGGAGTGGATGGGCCTTTGGCCTGATCCAACATTGGCGTCTCTTATGTTCTTATGTTATGTTCTTATGAGAACAGCTCTGAGAGATCCATGACTCACCCAAGGTCACACCAGCAGCTGCATGTGGAAGAGTGGGGAATCAGACCTGGTTCTCCCAGATTAGAGTCCATGCTCCTAACCACTACACCAAACTGGCTCTCAGCAGTTCAGGCCTCAATTGCACTCATATTGCAACCCTTCTGCAGAACTACTCCAGTCTAAACCCATTCAAATCAATGATCTTAGCCTTGGTAAGGGCCCATATTGACCCCTGATACCAGTACTGTCTGTTACCAATATACCTGTGACACTGGGAGCCAAACTACACATTACATTTTTTTCACTTGTTCACATAGTACCTGTGGGGAACATATAAAAATGTTTATACAAGTCGGAAAAAATGCAGCAAATAGTTTGGCTCTGTGTAGCACAGATGTTGAGCCAGTTTGGCGTAGTGGTTAAGAGCGCAGACTCTGATCTGGGAGAACCGGGTTTGATTCCCCACTCCTCCACATGCAGCTGCTAGTGTGACCTTGGATCAGTCTTAAGTTCTTTCAGAGCTGTTCTCTCAAGGGCAGTTCTCAAGAGAGCTCTCTCAGCCCCACCTGCCTCACAGGATGTCCATTGTAGGGAGGGGAAGGGAAAGGAGATTGTAAGCCGCTCTGAGATTCCTGTGCTCAGGCGATTAGAGTACGTAATAAATTTTAGTTCTGTTTCCGAGTTCTGAGTTCCGATCCAGATCTTATTAGGAATTCGATTAAATGGTGCCTATTTTAACTCTTAGGTTTAGAATGAAATGATTTTATGATGTTACCTTAATTGACTTTCATATGTATTTTACCCAGTTGTAATTCTATATCTGTTCTTCTAATTGGAGTGTTTTAACATCTATACCTTAAAAATGATTTGCTGTGTGAACTTGTATCTGGTTGTGGACCACAAAAAATTATTCATTCATTCAACAGACTGTATTCAGATCAAAGCCCTTATGATAATTTCTTTAATAGCTTTGGAACAGGCAGCTCCAGACTGGTCCCAAGCCTTTGGGGTGTGCACCAGTATTTGAAAAGTTATAACAGATTTCGGCCCATGCAATGTCTATGTAGTGGCCCAGTTTTTGAACTGGTACAAATAAAAATCAGCCTTGAATAACGCACACAATACAACTTACTGATCTCAAGGATTTTCAGCTTCTGGCAGCATCTGTCTTGCCGTTCCATCTGTATCATCAGGCAGGCTTCGACAGAACCATAGATAAAATGGCCCTCAAGAGAACATTTGTATTCTAGCTGGTTTTCCACTGCGCATGCATGGTCATTGTCATTGTAACTGTGGAGGACATTAATGCCAAAGTGAAATTTCTGAAAATTTAAAGACCTGCTGAATGGTCAACATTCAAACTCTGTACCTGAAAGTTGGCATAAAAATTTAAGAAGGAAGAAAACTTCTTCCACATCACACTGGCTTCCCATTTGCTTAAATTTTAAAAATGTGATCTCTGTTTTTCCATTCCTGCCCCTGTCTTGTGATAACATACTGTATGTGATGGATATCCACCCTAGCTTTGCACATTTCATTATTGTCAGATAATCTGCTAACTTGGTCCATCATGTTATTTTTTCTCATTTGAATATGCTGGATTAATCAATTAATTTTTCTAGGAAACCATATTTGGGCCCAAAAGGGTTAGCCATGCTATTTGCATGTGGCGAACCAAGAGTAAACAGCAGGCCTGCAGGAATGAAATTGCACTGGAGCTCCTGGCATTCAAATTAACTTTCTTTTCATCTTTCGTCTAATGGTGATTTCCACTGAAGAAAAAATGCAGCCTTTATTTTACATGGTAAAATCAGAGGTCATTTTGGGGGGGATCGTGGGGGATCGCAGTTCCCCCGGGTGAGGTACAGGGGCGGGGCACATGATGAAGCCCCGCCCCCTGCTTCCGGCCCTCATTCAGCCAGGAGGAAGCAGGAGAAGAGGGAGGGTAAGTTGCTTCCTCCCTGCCTCTCCCCACCCCTGCCTGCCTGGGGCCAGGGAGGGCCTTCGTGGGGCTTCCTTGCACTCCTGCCAGCCTTGCAGGTCTACCGCCGGGCCCCTCATGGGGCTCGGCAGTGGAGCTGCAAGGCCGGCGGCGGCCGGGACCGTTGGGGGCGGGGTGTGTGGCCTTATGACACACTTCCGGTGATGTCAGGGGGTGTGGCATATGCTAATGAGTTATGCTAATGAGTTCCCCTAGCTCTTTTTCTACGAAATGACCCCTGGGTAAAATACAGATGATGAGTAGGAAGAACGACTGTTTATCCCCTGCTCACAGATCTTACTATCCTCCACAACCTCTGTCACAAATGTTCAGGGCTACAGGTAGGTCAGGCAGCTACAGTTTGCCACTCATCTTGCCTCTTCTAAATACACAGAGAGCCCCTGACCCTTTCATACACCAAGTCCCCTCTCCTATTCACAACAGAGACACCACCACACAGGACAGCCCAGTCCTCTTGGACAATTACCCCTCACTCAGACAGATCCAGGTGGTCGACCGTGTTGGTCTGAAGCAGGAGAACAAAGTTAAGAGTCCAGTGGGGCACCTTTAAGACCAACAACGTTTTATTCAAGATGTGAGCTTTCGTGTGCACGCACACTTCATCAGACATTGAAATGGAATTACATACCAAAGTTGTACATATAGGAGTGGTTTGCTACATAAGCATGCAAAATAGTGAAGGTATTTTTTAACAGATCGAAAGAATGACAAGCTCGGTTTCTGGTTATCATCTGTTTGAGTTCAAGGGGGGGGGAACCAACATAGGTAATAAATATGTGTCAGACCCCACAGCAGGCAATGAAGTACACACTTGCAGGAAGGTTTTACTTTATTGAAGCCATGAAGTACTTAGAACAGATTCTCTGTTCAGAATAACGAGATGTGCGTTTGACAGATAGGTTAAAGCAGATTCATAATTACACTAGCCAATAGATACGTTTCCCGCTCCCGCTCAGAAGGCTCATCGCGCGCCCAAACCCTGAGAAGCAATGGTTCTATACAGTTAAACAATTAGACTATTCCCACACTACATGTTCATTACAGACTAAGCAATAAGCTTCCTGCCGCTCACCACCTGTGGCCTTGGACTGATAAGGTTCCATCAAAGCAAGTCTAGCATACATAGAAAGGAATGCAGCCTAGGAGAAGATGAGTGCATGAGAGTGAGGATAGACATGCGCACACGAGCTGATTACATTCACCATGGCAATAGCGAGGGGGGGTAGGGCATTCTGAATACACATAGGAAAGACACATTGGCAGCTTGCTGACAATATGTCAGAACTGGAAACTGATGTGCCCTAAATATTGAGAATCCTGTCCCCTAGACCCCATCCATCTCCTTTCTAGCATGGAGGAGAACTTTACAGCAATTTGGGTTTCTGTTGTAATTTACTGTTGAACTTTACAGCCTCCATGCTAGAAAGGAGATGGATGAGTTCTAAGAATGGGATTCTCACAATAAAGGGCACATCAGTTTCCAGGTCTGACTTATTTATTACCTATGTTGTGTCACCCCCCCCCCCACTTGAATCCAAATAGATGATAACCAGAAACTGAGCTTGTCATTCTTTTGCTCTGTTTTTTTTAAAAAATATTCTCACTATTTTGCATGCTAATTTCACAAGCCACCTATATATACAATGATATGTGATTCCATTTCATTGTCTGACGAAGTGTGCATGTGCATAAAAACTCACATCTTGAATAAAACTTTGTTGGTCTAAAAGGTGCCCCACTGGACTCTAACTTCCCTCAGACACTTCATAGAGCCAGGGGGGTTGGGACTCAATCACTCAAACACCGTTTCACATGCACACTGCTATTGATTATGTATGTGTATATAGAGGCCAGGCTGACAGGTGTTAGGGTTGCCACCAGTCCTACCACAAGCAAGTGCTTACTGGCAAGAAGCGGCCACTACACGCGCCCAGAGGGAGAAAAGTCAGTCCTTCTCCAATAAGTGCTCCCTACAGCCTGGGGGTGAGCAGGGCAGGGCGCGGCGTCGTTTGGCGCCCCTGAGGGCCGGCGCGCCCTAGGCGAGCGCCTAGTTCGCCTAGTGGGCGAGCCAGCCCTGCCTACAGGTGGCTTTTCCAGGTACAGAATGAACAATGGAAACCCTAAACGGGAGTTGGCAGGAATTGGACATCCTATTACAGCAATTAGTTCAACAATATGCTGATGCATCGATTGTACTTGCAGATGATTTTAATGCCCAGACTGGGAGCTCTACTGGTGGATAGTCAGAAAACCTCAGGTTTTAGATATTGCTGCAGGCAAGGATAGCAACAATCACATCTGCCAGGACCCATGGGAAGTATATTTCCCACAAGCAAGTGATTACTGGCAAGAATCAGTCACTGCACGTGCCCAGAAGGAGAAAAGTCAGTCCGTTCTCCAATAAGTGCTCCCTCCAGGTGGCTTTTGCCAGGCACAGAATGATGATGCTGAAATTGTGTGGAATAAGTCTTGTTCAGAATTTGCCCCAGAATCGTGAAAGGTACATTTGTAAAGAACGGAGAGAGGGTATGTTTCCAAACATTCCCTCTGCTCTCAAAAATAGTACTTCTGTGTTTGTTCTAGGTACAGCCTAAGAGTGCTTCTGTGTTCATCAGGCATGCCTGATCTCCGCCATTATTTTCAGCTGGAGACAGGAATGTGGAAGGAGAGGATTCTTTATTTCCGTGTCTCCATTATTTATGATCTTTTAATAAGGTCATCACCACAGCAAAGCAATTGTATTTGTAGTGCATGGGAGAAGTTCTTACCGTAAAGTGAAATGAATGGGCGTTTCATTCGAGCACATCTCCATCCCTGAGATTTGGCAAATTAGGATAATATCACCATTCAGCTGTTCTGGAAGTCGACTGAAACACTTAAAGGTGGTGTCTGGTTCCCCATCTGCACAGATTTCTAATTAAGAATGACCATAATATTAGCACTCTGATTGGAAGTACAGACTCGAAGTTATTTGTAGGCTATTTTATCTGACTTCTGTCCTGCCCCGCCTCCCAGGGTAGCTGGATCCCATCAGATCTTGGAAGCTAAGTAGGTCACCTCTGGTCAGTATTTGGAATGAAGACCACCAAGGAATACCAGGGTTGTGATGTGGAGGTAGGCAATTCTGAACGTCAGTTGCCTTGAAAACTCCTTGGGGGTCACCATAAGTCAGTTGTGACTTGATGGCCAGTATAAGATACACACTCTTAACATAAGAACACAAGAATTTAAGAGAAGCCCATGTTGGATCAGGCCCATGGCTAAGCTAAACCATATATATAAAAGTACAAATATTTATTAAGGTGTACACATGTTAAAACTTTCCTGATTAAAAATTACTTTGTCTAAGATCAGACTATAAAAGCTTATCCTCTATACATACATATGATGGGTAAATAATTTACAACTGTTGTAAATTATTTACCCATCATATGTATGTATAGAGGATAAGCTCTGGTCTTATAGTCTGATCTTAGACAAAGTAATTTTTAATCAGGAAAGTTTTAACATGTGTACACCTTAATAAATATTTGTACTTTTATATATATGGTTTAGCTTAGCCCTTTTTGGTTCGTAGTCATATCCTGGGTTGAATCCCCCCCCCCCTTTTTCCAGTTTTTGGATCAGGCCCATGGCCCATCCAGTCCAACACTCTGTCACACAGTGGCCAAAAATACCAGGTGCCATCAGGAGGTCCAGCAGTGGGGCCAGGACACTAGCCCCCCCCCCCAAGCACCAAGAATACAGTGTATCACTTGTCCAAGCCTGAGAGTTCCTATCTATACCTTGTGGCTAATAGCCACTGATGGACCTCTGCTCCATATGTTTATGTCTGACTATGGCCTAAATTACATATAATATCTGTAACAAGACTAATGTAGAGAGGCCAGTGGTCTGAGTCAGTACAAGGAAGGTTCACATGGAAAACCAAACTATTAGCAAAAACTATAAATGCAAAAAAAAAAATGAAATAGGGGATATTTGCTCATCCCTTGTAACGAGCAACGAGAGATGTGAACAGCCATATTTGTAGATTGCCTACCGCTAGGGCACTAGGAAAGGGGAGATGGTAGTTCTGTCTGTAAGAGGGAGCTCAGAGAAGAACACCTTAAGGAGACGGAACTTCTTATGACTCATTCCGGTTGCTCTCAGAGTTTCACTTCCCCGTTACCTAGAATGATTGCACAGCATTGTTGCAAATTCTATGAACCAAATGTTTTATCAGCCACCCAGCAGAATGTATCAATCAAAGGACATCAGTTCCTTCTAGGGACAGCATTTACAT